TGGCAAGTACTGTATAGCGGGAAATTTGGAGGGACTAAAATTTGGCAAATTGCTAAATTTTGATGATAGGCAATTTTACTTTGGCGAATTTGTTGCCACGTGCCATTGAGCATGCATATGATTGCTGAAAATGGCTGGTTTTTATTTTGGTGAATGGCTATCAAAACGCCAAATTCGCCAAATTTGATTCACTTCAAAATTTCCCGCTATATAGTATTTATAGCAAGAGTCCATTTTGCCAATAAACTCCATGCACTATTTTAAGCCTCAATGGCACACAGGCATAAATTTAAAAACTGGCTTTAATTACTAAATCATTATTTTCCAAAATACCTATCATACGATAGCTCTCTCCCTCCCTCTCCCTCTCTCCCTCCCTCCCCCCTCTCTCTCCCTCCCTCCCTCTCCCTCCCTCTCCCCCCTCTCTCTCTCTCCCTCTTTACATTGTCTTCCATTGTAGTTGATGGTCTCTCCAGGTTGATTTGAATGATAAATTGAGTCAGTAATAAAACAAACACTCTCATACCCTCTTGCCTCTAGTAATACTGACAGTGTCAATGGATGCCTACAAATGTATAAGAAAATATAACTACATGCATATTCTTTATTTTTTTTAAAATACACTGCATACTGTACAAGGTGATTTATTGGCAAGGAATTAATATTGGTGATTGGCAGTTCTATGAAGAAATCACCAATATAAAATCTGCCATTTTGTTTCAATTCGCCCTTAACTTTCCACAGGCAAATTCACTAAAGACATGTAATACTCAATAAATTATCTTGTATGGTATTGGCCATAAATCACTGTTAATTCTTACACGTGTGCCAAGTCTCCTATTACTTCAACAGTTGGCGGTATTATGTCAGTATATTCTGGTAAATTAGGATATACTGATGCTAAACCAATGTTAACTAATCCTGGGAGCCTACAGAAAAGAAAAGAGTGAGAGAAAAAGAGAGAAGGGGAGAGAAGAAATACAAAAGTAACATATTCATAATAGAAGGACAAAAGATGAAAAGGAAGGAGATATGCGCCAAAGAAAAATTACGAGATATGATATGAAATTAATATGTGTGACTTGTCTTACCTATGATGAAAGCTGCACACATTAAATAAATGTGTTATATGCATTGGTTCCTTTGATAGTCTCAAAGCATCTAATATCTCACTCTCACTTGCTTCTTTATCATGCCCCAATGAAGGCTTTATACCTCTATAGTAATTTTTTAAATAAATGAAAAATAATTAAATAAAATTAATTAATTAATACCGTAGGGCGCCTTTTTTCAAGGGCTG